AAAATTATCTTTTTTAATTCCAAATATCACAATTTCTTTTGCTGAAAATGTAGGATATTTTGTAAATGAGTCTTATATTGAGGCCATCCTATATACATCTACAATAGAGTTTTAAATTTTATTTTAAGAATGCATTAATCGTTACACACAACTTCAATTCAAAAATCATTACTATTCATATTTGTTATATTTTAGTGAAGCAATTGTAACATTTGCCTTATTTGTGCATGTAGCTTTTAATTCAAATTCAACTTTTGAAAACAAATTACAGCTAAGTAACCATCTAATTGTTTGGAGAGAAAAAGAAAGATAAAATAAATTACAGATTTTAGAGGTTAATGTGTAAACCAGACAGTAAAGACATTGTAAAAGACAATGAAGCAAATATTATTAGGTTATAAGACTGCCATGTGGAGTTCAGACCCTTGTTTATTCAAATAACAGATTCCAATAGACTATCTCTCTACAGTGATTTATTCCAAATAAATCAAATAACAAGAAAGCAATCATCTATCAAACCAAGCAATTTGCTTGCTAAAGCCTGGAGCTACAAGATTATATCATCTAGATATAAACACACCAAACTACATACACATATAAACACACTTCAAATACATAATGAATTGGCTGCTCTAATGTCTTTATGATGAACTGCAATTATTTTCTCATCACTAGAAGTAATACAGGAAATAAACATTGTAGCAATCAAGCAAACATATGGTTGTTGGTATAAAACTAATTCTCTGCAGTTAGTTGGTAAAATATAGGAAGCAAAATGTGTATGTATGTAAGCATGCACACACAAGGGAGTACTGAAATGTTCTCTGATCAACCAAGAAACACTTCTCCCAAAAGAATCTGATGTTTGGTCATCTTGAAAAGTGGATTGAGTCAAGAAAATTTCAGCCTACACACATGCACACACAGAGATGCCTACTCAAAATCAAATCCTGCAATTAATAATCAGTGCCTTAACCAAAATGTATTTGAGCCACTTTAGCAAAAGCTTCATCCTTGGGAACCTATGTCAATTTTATTTTTTGCAAAATCCCTTTGAAAGTGTCTTAAAGAAATATTTAGAATCAGAACTATTAAAATTATTGATTTGAAATTAATGATATTTTTAAGAAATTGTAAAGGATAACATAAAGGAATATGCACTTAATCGTATTACTACTACTAGAACAGAACACTTGTTTTAGTCTTCTCTCAAGGTTCATAAAGGAGACTGAGAAGAAACAATAACCAAGATAGATGTCCCTCAAACAAGCACCTGTGTTATCAAACTTATTTTTATCAGAAATTAGACATGAATACTATAAAGTAGGTACTTATATGCATAAACTGCCTGAAATCAACAGTGTGAAATCATCAAGATCAAAATAATGATGTTTTCTTTTTTTACCTATTTGTATGTATCAATCTTACAAAGAAATGAAAGTTATACTTAAAAAAATCCTTTTGTTACTTCCAGTAATGACTTTCAGATGGTTATTAGAGAGTTTGTTTCTTGAAAATTTAAAATGTTGGTTTTTCCTATGCAGTCAGTATAGAATTTAATTATAATCTCAATACTGAATGTGAAAATCCTTTTTACACTATTGATAATGGAACATAAGCTAATTTTAACCAAGGTTATTTCCTTATTTGTATGGGTCAGTAAACTAATGTACTTAAGGCTTTGTGTCTTCCATTCAATCCTACATTCTTAGTTCTTTGCTTTAACTTGACAATATTCTGCAAACAAACTTTCCATAAGAAAATAAAAGAAATAATAAAGTGAGGCAAGACAATGAAAAATGATGTTTAATCAAAGAGCAAAAGTAATCAATGTTGAAAACAGACAATGGTGGAAGCAGTACAGAAGACGGACTTCTTTGATGTATACAACAGAAAGTATTTTATATATGGAATTAAAAACTTATCACAGGCAGCTATTCACATTGTATTATTGTCATCTCTTGTAGATATAACTGTAATTTTTTACATTACTTGGACTATAATTCCATGAAACAATTGGGTGCTGAAGAAATTCAAAACAATTGGTAAATATGGATCTATCTCCCAGACAACATCTCTTCACTGTACTAAAATTGGTTCATGTTAAGGGTACATCATAATGTCTGCAGCAAAGACCCAAGTATTTTTGACATCTACTCACATCAAAAAATATATAGTGTCTTATATATATATATATATATATATATACACACACCACTTTAGGCCTATTGTTTCAGCTGTTGTTCTCTCCGGCCTTATCGGGTGTCTATTGATCCAGGTAACCTACTGAAAATTCTGTACTGAACTCTTTAATTGCAGACAGTTCTTGTTTCATTGTCAATGTCTAGGGATATCTCATCTTATTTTTAATACTGCTCAGTTATTGCTTGCCTCTTTCCAGTGAGTCCAACCCACCCAGGGATTTAACTCACAATTACTATGTCACCAAATACATAAACCAATGCCTTAATCCACTAAGCTATTGTCCTATAGGACAATTCTCTGTGGAGAACTTGGAGCCTTGCCTACATGGTAATGAGTGTTGCTATTCACACAACAGCCAAAACACTGTAATAACAACAACAAAGATGAGGACAATATTCTAAATGTAAATAGTGTAAATAATGATAACTCCTCATCCCAGAAATTCAGACAGAAAACACCACTTAAGACTAATGGATTTATCAATAGAATATTGACCTTTATGAAGATTCATTAGTTTAAAATCAGTTATCCTCCTTATAAATATGATAATTCTTATCAACATGACATTATAACTTAATCTTTCCTATGATTCAATGCTATCATAAATTTGATAAAAGGAGTAGTCTTTTCTGCCTGTTGATCATTGCTCTCACTACAGATGAGGATTCTTTTCTGTGTGGTAACCCTTCTGTAGTCACGGATCATTTTAGGGGGACTTTGTTGTGTCTACATTTCCCATGAATTTATTGAAACAGGAATGGACAGGTAATAGTGATATGTTTATCAAAGGATGAACAACCACAAACAATTGTATTTAATTCTGATTTGAGGACTGCTAAGATTTTGGTATAAAAAACTAAATCTAGATTATAATAAATGACTAAATCTAGGTTAGGTATGGACAAGGTCATTTCCAATGTATCAATTGAGAGATCATATTTTCTTTATGCCTTATCTTTCTTTTCCCTTTGTTTAAATGGTTTCTCTTTTAGTCTTCATGTAAGAATTTAAGATAAGCAGTTTCTCTCTTTTTATTTTTTTTTCTAGTATCAATTTTTAGCTTCTTTCTCTTTGTCTTACTCCAGTTCCAAAGATGTTTTTCTTTTTTTTTTTTTGCTTCTTCACTAAACTTTGCCTTTCTGTTTTCCTCCATTCTTCAATTCCTTTTTTTTCTAATTAATTAGTCTTGCCAAATTCAGAGTCATGCAGAGGCTAACACATACAATGTTATTAAGTTAGTCATTTTTCCAGGCACACTATGTGATGACTGTACACATCGCCAAGACTCATTCTTTCAGTCTTCTCTTGGTTGACAGTCCTAAGTACTGATAATCATTGAGAATTCAAACAAAGACAATAAATTTTACTTCCACCATTTAAAAATTCTTTTTTAGAAAATTCCATTACTGATTTTTCTGTTTCCCTAAGAAATGTTTTACTAAATGTTCACTCAATACAAAGCGTAAGAGCCACTCAAATTACAGGGTTATAAAATGAGGTTGCTGTATGAACATAGGAAGTGGGAAGTAAGTGTAGATTATGAAGATATGTACAATATGGCATGGTGAATCTCAGTTATAAATCTTAACTGATGGAAGTAGGGATTGTAGTTGATCTGAATAGTTTCCATGGAAATAGCAATAACATAGTGAGAGGCATGCAATGTTGCATCTGTGATAGAGGAGTTAATTCATTGCCTATGAGGCTGCATAAATACTTTTAAATTCTATCAAAGCTAGAAAGAGAAGATTGAGCAGCTCCAACCCAGATATTGCAGCAATATTCCATTTTTGGTCTAATCTTGTAAATATAGAGCCTTATTGGAGACCTTTCAAAAATAACCCTTCAGCCATACATTTTAACCAAAAACTCATTTTAAATTATAGCTTTAGCCAATCTTGAAATGTTGGGAGTGTTTTTTGTATAGATAATAACAGAACTTTCAAGTACAAAATATATTTATATAACTAGTTAGAGAGTCAGTCATAAGTATTACATGATATAATGGATTATACTGTTAAACACTGGTTTTAAATCTGGGTTCAAATCTAGCTAATTCTGTTTTGATTATTTTCAATATGGTATAATCTAACATTATGTAGCACTAGTAGTAGATTGTATTTATTTGCCTCACTATAAGGTCAAATATGACAAATTTATTTTAATGCAAGTCTCACACACATACACTTAGGCAAAGACAAAAAAAATGGCCAGTGCTACAATGGTGTCAGGGTTATTCACAACCTGCCTCTTTCAGTGTAATATGGAAGTGGTTCCCAGGAGATGAAATTTCCAGGACCAGATTATAGTATACATTGTCCATTGATAAATTAAATAACATCCAATCCTAGTCAAAAGACCAGGAGGTAATACCAGTAAATAAATCAAACTTTAGATAGTATATCTGACAAGTTGAAAGTTGCACCTTATTCCTGTTAAAAGTAAAATTACAGTAAAAGCCTTTCTGATATTCAGTTAATAACTAGAGAAAGCAGTAAAATTTTTTGTACTTTTCAAATTTAGAAAATATGTGAGAATAAATTATTTAATTTCTACAGCTCATAATTTAGACCGAAGAATAATTCTGGGATGGGAAAAGATTCAATTGTAAAATAATAAAGAAAAGAAAATGCCAAAAGTGAAAACTGGAAGCAATTGTCCATAATAATGTAATTAGCAATGAACAATAGAGAGTGTATTGAAGGAATAAAAGGGCTTCAAATTTGTAACTAAGAAATTTTTAGAGAATAGCAAAGAAAAACATGCTTGCAGGCAATGATTAAAAAAATAAAAAATTATCGAAAACACATTAAAAAAGTGATATGTGAACAAAAAGCAGAGAATAAAAAGAAACCAGAGAAATGAACAAAGTCAGACAAATAATGAACGATATAGGTACAGAAAAAGAGAGAAGGCCAAATCAACTTAATGAGAGTGTGTACAAAAGAGACAGAATTAGTCAGCAGGGAAGAGGCAATGAGAGAAGGTGAATGAGAGAGACAAATAGTAGGTGAGAGAAAGCTTGAAAGAAAGAATTGGTGAAAATAGGTAGACAAAGAAAGAAGGGTAAGGTGAATCCAGATAATAGAGAAGTAGGAAAACAAAAGTGGTTGGGAGAAGAAAAACTTGAGAGAGAGAGAGAGAGAATGAAATCACTGGGTGAGAGAAGAGGGAATAAACTAAAGGTAATAAATAAATGAGAACTAGAAAAAAGTATTATTCTAAAGCAAAGGAACATGAGATTAGAAAAGAGAGTGTAAAGAACAACAAGAGATGATAACATGCTAGAAAAAAAAATCAACAAGGGTGAAATAAATATAAAAAAGATAAAACTCTTTTTATATAAGTGAAGGTAGATCTTAAAAATTAAACAAGATAGACTAAATGAAGATGGTTTTTCATGGATTTCTAAATATAAATGGCTTAGCTTCATTTGTTTAATTGAATTTAATTTGGAGTAAGCTCAACACTAAAATTTAAAATGAAAATGCTTACCTTGAGGTAATAGACAAGGAGTTCATTGAGGGAAGGATCAGCATTCAGATTGACCAAATAATAGCGGCTCTGTTCCACCTTGATGCCTGATGTCTGCACAGAAATGCCCATGTTTTCCAGGGCTTTGTGTCTTTCCTGAAAAGAAACATTTCAGATGTTACAAAATTAATAAATTACCAAACAGTGATATTGCAATAGAATATCATTCAACTCAAACATGAGGACATGTTTCAAATGGCAAATTTCCACTGCAAGTAAATTTGTTCTCATCCTAAATATAACACTACTGGCTAAAATAATTGAATACATTTTTTTTGTGTGTGTGTATTGATACTGAAGTGAGTTTCATATGCAGTGTTGTCTTTTGTTTTCATAAAAAGGTAAAGAACAAGGAAAATGTCTACTGGATTTATGAACTGTGAAAACCATCCCAGAGGGTTAAATATTCATTTACTGTTCTCTTATTTGGCTTCACTGAAATTTAACTTTGTATAAATAATTCTAAACTGCTTTTCTATAATTCCTTGCAAATCAATGGTTAGCAAGAAAAAACAAAATTTATATAAAATTTAAACTCAAATGATCTATAAAGCAAAAAGCTTATTTCTATAATTTCCTCAAAAGCTTTTTGAAGGCACTAAATATTTTATAAACATCACAAAACAGTTCAAAATTCAATAGAGCAGCTAAAATTAAACATTTTTTTTTCTTTTTTTTTTTACACAGTATTGAAAAATATTACTTGTTAATAGTAAATTGTAAACATTTAAATTTCAGCAAACTACTAACAATGTGCAGAGTCCTTTTTATTTTAACATGCATAAAAAGATCTCACTTTACTTTCCATTGTTTTACTTCTTGTGCCAGAAGAGGCAATAGAAATTCTAATATATAAGATCCTTTTGTTAAGTGCTTTATGAAAACAATGTTTGTAAATTTCCATATTATCACAACCCAAGAATGTTAAGCTGAATATAAGAAAACTATAAGATGAAAAAAAGCAAAATTAGTTCAAATTAAGCTAGCTAAATAGAATTTCTTTGCACAATGACAGTTATGTGGGTCATACTGTTATTCATAATTTTCTTGTGTGCTGATAAGATTTTGTATATGAAGCCAATAATTAACAATGATTTAATAGAGTGTTTAAAAATAGAATACTTTAGACCAACTATGCAGAGAAAAAATACTTTGCTAGTTATTGGATTGAAGCTGAATTTCCAAGCTTTTATGACGAAATATCATTTATAGAAATTCATAGCATAATTATTTAATTAAAATATTTTCTTTAACTTTCTATGGCTTTACACCACCTTTCAGAAAAACTGTAAAATTAAAAAGTTTCTGTTTTTGATTAAATATCTTGAATATGTTGGAACTGCTATTAAGAAAAGCAAAAAAACGATAGTAGTCTGAAAATGACAGGCCAAGAGAATAGAGTGAATACGGAAGAACTTCCTATCCCAGCTTGGTGTTCTTTTGCAGGGTTAAATTTATAACTTGAGGACAAGTATTGTCATGCAGCAGAATCATTGCTCAGAAAAGATGTTTTTACACGTGTCATTCAAACAAGCTAATTGCTCATTGTAGCTATAAAGAATTCATCCCATGCAACGCCTGTATCCATATTAGTAATAGTAGTGCTGGTCAAATGATATAAGAATGAATAGAAAATTTGTATCTAAAACAAGATGGAAAAAAAAAAAAATGAAGTTCTATTGTAATTTTTTGGCTTGCTGATAAACCATGTTCAGTATTGCACTGCCTTTAGTTTCTTTATTGAACTAGTTCTTTAAATGATGGCAGTCATAGGATAATGTAGAGAAAAAAAATCAAGGTGAACCAAACTGAGAGAATAGCATTTATACCACCAACAGATTTTATATTCTCAAAGTCCAAACATTGGCCGACACAGAGGCAATGATTTTTACGTTATTGAACTGCTTCTAAATTGGATAAGAATACCCTGGATGTTGAAATCAATGCCCTCATATAGTGTATGGGACCTAAGGCCGAACAAATATATGAATCTTTCAACACTGATCCTGATCAAACAGAGGATTCCTTTAACAAAACATTCAGAACTACAACAATCATTTTAATCCAAAAGTCAACATTATACACAAAAGGGTTGTATTTCATCAGCAAAACCAATAACCTGGTAAGAATATAGAAATCTGTGTTCAATGTATTGTATGAACAAGGGTAACATGCTGACTTTCTGGAGAAGGAATTCTTAATACAAGACTATCTCATTGTGATAATAAAGAGAAACAAAAATAGTCAAGTAAACAGATGGGAACAGACTGAATGTCAGGGTCCATGTCAATCATCTCCCAGTCTATGATAGTGGAAGAGGGTGGGGGGGGGACAAATGCAAGAATTACACTCAGAAATGGCATATAAAAATTGACTGTCCAGTTAAAGGAAAGATATGCTTTAAATGTGATAAGCCAAACCATTTTGCTATTTGATGTTGCAGCTGAAGGATTGACAACATAGAGAATGCAGATGATGCTACCTATACTTTCAAGCACACTATTCTATGCAGCAGAATAATCGAAAAAATCATCAAGCAGATTGACTGGCATGCTCACATGGCACCAGGCATGAAGAAAAATGGCAAAGTAAGAATTTGTATGGATTTTAAATACCTAAATAAAGCTGTGAAACATGAAAGGTACCTTATTCCTCAACTTAAAGATCTTTTATATAAATTAAAAGAGGGCAAAAATCATCAGTAAACTGGCAAATCCCACTAGAAAATGATTTTGTAGAACTAACAATCTTTGTAACTCTCCTTACATTTGCTATTTATATAAAATCTTCCTTTTGGGAATTTGTCAGCCCTTGAAATCTTACACCATACAATGGAAGAAATTCTTTATAAAGAAGACAATGTTATGTTACTCTGACAATGTCTTAATATTTAGTGAGGATGAAGTTTAACATGAGAGGCATTTGAACACTGACAATCTAGCAGAGATAGCTGCTGTGACAAAAGAGGACAAGATCTCAAGAAATGTTCTTGAATATCCTTGTGTTAGCTGGCCAACCAATGTAAAAGGATGAACTCTGACCTGCAAGAGTTCTACAACAATAGAAAAGAATAGAGTATATCTGAAGGAATGTTTATCAAAATAATAGGATTGTTATCCCAACCTTAATGTGGAGCAAAATTCTAGAAGCCATTAATGACGAATATCAAGGCATAACAAAATGTTGTGATTGTGTGAGATCTTTAGTATAGTAGCCAGGAATCAACAGGGACATGATCAAGAGAGTCCAGACATGAACTCAATGTAAAGAAAACAGGCCAAAACAGAGGAAATAACTTCATAGCCATTTAACTAAATATACCCTTTTCAAATGGTTGCTGCAGACTTGTGTGAAATAAAAGGAAAGTCATATTAGTGGATTATTTCTCTAGATATTTAGACATAGCATAACTATCAAACATTAACATAGCTAGTGTTATTGTAAGTTTGAAAAATATATTCACCCAACAGAGTATTCCAATGACTCAAGAAACTAACAACTGTTGAGAGTTTATGTCAACCTTCTTTCAAAATTTCAGCAAAGCCTGGAGTTTTGCACATGTCAACAGCAGTTCATATGGAGAGATGGAAAGAACTGTACAGACTGCTAAGGATATTGTTTTGGGCTCTACTTGCATACAAAGCCTTGGCAACCTCATCAACTGGAGCAAGTCCAGCTGAACTTGCTTTTGGGCATTGATTGCAGATGATGGTGCCTATACTGCAGTCCAACTTTGACCCATATCTGATTGATAAGAATGTAATTCATCAGTGTGACTGGCCAAATGCTATAAGAATGAATAGAAAATTTATATTTGAAAAAAAAAGAAAAGTCCCTTTTTAATTTCTTGGCTTGCCAATAAACAGTGTTCAGTGTTCCTCTGTTTTGATTTTTCTTATTAAGCCTGTTCATTACAGTAGCACCAGTGGACATTAACAGTGTTCGCAGGTTCTAACAATTCATAAAAAACAATTAGCTTTGAATCATACCAAACACAGAGAAATATCCACCCTAACAGAATCTGTTCAAGTTGAAAGTTATACTGGATCTAAGAATATGAGAAAAGAAGACAAGAGCTAACATAGTGAAATGTTTCATGATGCCAAATCCCTTAATGCATCAATAAGAGCAGAAACAAAGATAATATTCCTAATGTTTACTCCCTTTTTATTGGAGAGATAGATTATAAAAAGTAAACAACTTAAGGTATTCAAAAAGCATAAATAGTTGATTAGTATGTCAACTGATTCCATTCATCTTAATAATTTCCTGGAGATTTAAAAAAAAAAAAAATAAATAAATAAATAAAAAAAGCAACAAATTTAGAAATTACTAACTTGATGAATTTTTTCTGTTTCAGCCAATTTTTCTTCCCAAGTCTTTGTCATTTCTTTGATAAGCTTCTCTGACTCTTCGAGACGTTCTTTCAAATCAGGGGCTTTCATGCTCTGAACATTGGAAAAAAATCATGATGCATAAGAATGAAAAAGCAGAGTAAAACAGATACAAATAATCAAAGAATATTTTTACATTTTCCTTTTTAAGCAAGTTCAAGTACAAACAAAATTAATTAATTATAAATAATTTTCATGCAATACAAAATTTTCCAACAAAATGCTTGATCTAACAACACTTGTTATATATCATCATGGTACAAAATTAATTCTTAATGCCATAAAATGACTAAATAAAAAATAATCTTGTCAGAGACAAAATTTAACAAAAGCAATAAAAGGATAGTGGTAGAGAGATTGTCTTGTAAATCCATAATGCTTTGACATAAATAATTGGGCAAAAAATCAATATAAAAATGCTAAATGATTAAGCATATTTTTTTAGCTTTTAAAAATTGGTACCAAAAATAATTTCATATTTTAACAGTGTTTGTTAGCTAACTCAAGGGAAATAATTTAAATAGCTAACGACTTTGATTACCTCCCTTATTCCAAGCTAGCTAATTCTGCGTTCTGCTTTGGAGCTATTATTTTCACTATTCAAATTAATAGTTGAAGATTTATACAACTGATACCCTGAATTAAAATAAAGAAATTTTAAAATATACTCGATAAATAATTATTTTATGAAAAATTCAAATTCACCTGATCTTTCCTATATAAGCAATATATAGCAATGTCCTTTATTCTGAATACTAATGAGACTAACCAATATTTCTGCTTTATAGTTGTTTTATGATAGAAGGCAATTTTTCTTTATTATAGTTTTATTTAAGACATGCTACAAAAGATGAACTGACCTGTGCTTCACTGAGTTGGTTGCGTAACATAACAACTTCCTCACGAAGTTCTCGAATGATGCGAGCATTTGGATCCTCATTGACCACGGCATGATTGATAATTCGCTTTGCACGATCAGCATAGCGCAAAGTAGATAGTGTTTCTTCATAATTATCAGCTGCTGGGCTTACAGTTGCTACCATCACAGTCTTGCTGTTGCCACCAAGATTGTCCTAAAAACAAGTTATTTAATTAATAATTTATTTTCTAAATGCAAAGTAAATGAAATGCTGTATTTAGTGGCATATAAGACATACTTTTCTACCCCACAAAATATGACTGTTCAAATTACCCAATGCCCTACACAGTGAAGATTAAGCATGGAGTCAAGCTTGAGCTATAAAAATCTCAACCACTGAGAACTGAGGTAGGCTAAAAAAAATTATAATTATTCTCATAGGGCATCTAATTCTTTTGGTTTTGTACTATATGTAATCTATGCTTAGTAAATCACTAAAATAAATCATCTTCAGTTTTATTTGTGCCATAAAATTTAGGGTGCATTCTATATACCACAGAATAGAGTAATTATCAACACAAATTCCATTAATTAGGACATTTTTAATCTTTAACTGATACTAAACTACTGTATATAACAAACTTTTCACTTATGTTCAAGCTTCTTTTTGGCATTAATTTTCATTTGTATTATTTTCAATGTTAATATAGCATATTAATAGTGGTTTAAAATTCATCTAAATCTAAATAGGTAGAATTTAATTATCAATGAAGATGAACCATTAAAAATAGGCCACAACTAACATTTTGTTGAAAAAAGTCAAAGAATAATATTTATAGTATTTAGACATTATCAAACATACATATTTGTTAATGAATTAAAGCCAACTGTTAAGTACCAACTTTGATATAATCCATACTAAATATAACTTATAAAGAAAAATATTAGGCTTCCAACTATAAATTTGTAACAAATCAATAAAAATATGGATGACTTCTCATTTATGAAGTTCTTAACAAAAATTTAATACTGACACAAGATACAATATAGTCATGTAAGTCATCAAGAGAGAATGTTGCAATTAGTACTGACATTACTGGTATTTACTAAGCTTGGCTTATAAGAAAAATGTGGGACAACAAGTGAGGATTGAACAAAGTAATAAATATCTACTTTATAAGATCACTAAACATGCTTCACAGTGAGACACCAGAGTAAATACATGAATAATTCAGCTTCTTTTTTTTTTTTTTTTTTTTCCAAACATAATAGAAGATAGAATCCATGTTTATGTGATAAGTTCCCCCACCCCTTTTTTTAATGCATAGGAAACTATGAAAGAATACTGAAGCATTGTCTAAGGCTGCCCACATGTTTAGTAAACCCAACAACTGCAAAAAATGAAAAATGTTTGAAAATATGAATCGTTATTGCATGTACAGGAACCTGCTGGGAAAAAGAATTTTTACAACTTTGCATAACATTTTTAGGATAAATTCAATGATAAATAGTTATTTGACATGTACAGTTGCCAGTATGGTATAATCATTTTAGAAGTTAGCATATAAAATAAAATTAAAATAAAATAAAATTTTAATTTCAAAATAGATTTATAAATAAAAATTACACTAATGGGAAATGGGGGAATTTTTTTTTTTGTTAAAATGATATATCTAATAATCAGAGTATAATTTTATTATCATAAAAAAAAATATATCTTGAAATTCACTTAAATTTATCAAATTCTTCCAAATTCATTTTGTTGAAGAATAATTGTGCCTAAATAAAAAAAAAAAAAAGAATAATTTCTCAGCTTATCCTCAAAAATGATAAACATGAGAATAATTCATTAATGTGGGTTAATGAGATAAAAAAAAGATCATGTGAACAGAGAAAAATAGATAAAATGAGTGGCTAAAAGAGTGAAAAGTAAGAGAGAAATGTATGTTGACAGGAAAGTGTGATACAACAAATTGTTAAAGAAAAATTGAAAGCAAATCAAAATTAGATGGAAATAGGGAAATAAAAGTGGGAGTGGAAAAGAGACGACAAAGGTAATATAATTTTTGACTGACCTTCAGAAGCCATGTTAGAACAGAATCTCGATATGGCACAAATTTGTTTTTATTCTTGCCAGCTGCCTGGTCAGCTAATGCAGAGATAACAAGACCTAGTGTGGTGAGTGATCTGTAAAAATACACAAAATAATAAACATATAAAAAAGAAAGTAACTTCTTCAGACATTACAGAAACTGAAAAAGAAAGTTAAATATTTTGGTAGAATACTACAGCTTATTGCATGTGAATATCTATTTCTAATAATGATCTATAATAGGATAAAGTACAAATAATGGTCTATGTTAAATTCTATGAAATAAGAAGTGATGTTCTAAAATGTCTCTTTAAAAAAGACTAATATTAAAATGAGGTAATACTTAATATAACTTTAGGGACACTTTCCTCAAGTTTTGTGGATGTTTGTGCAGTTATGACTTGCTGTATACATATATAGGTAGAAATATGTAAATTGTATGTACATGTATGAGTAGAGATAGTTTTATATAAGTATTATTATATGTTAAGATTACGTAGGTGTTGTCCACAAATGAATATGGATACTATTGTTTTTTTTTTATTTAACTATTATGAAATCAGTGTTTGAAGCTGAGTAAGTTTTGAAAACAAGTGAATACTTTCCATTATTACATGTCTCTTCAAAGTAAACTTTCAATATTAGAGAATAGAAATTATAAACTTGCAATAAAGAACCAATAAATAGGTAACTTATATTTTTAGTTATTCTTATAAATGGAATAAATTAAAATGGTGGGTTTTGTATTACCAAAAATGAGTGTATGAATCACATAATTACTTTTTGCATCATTATGTTCTGTATCTGTATCTTAAAACATTCTTGTACACACACACACACACACACACACAAATGGTGCGATGGATAAATTGTCGTCTAAATTATGCAAAAATGAAAATAACACTGATATAACAATTTAACAGATATATTTACCAAAATTATATAAAAATGTCTTGAAATACTAGAGAGTAAATTTATTCAATAAAATTGCCATTGGCTTCAACCATGGCCTCCAGATGACTTCGGAATTTCCTGCAACTCTTCTGGAAAGTCTCCTTGTTTAAGTTGGTTAGTACCGCCATAATTCTTGCCTTCAGTTCATCTTTGGTGTTACAAGGAGTTCTATTGGTCTCTTGCTCAACTGTACCCTACACATAATAATCAAGGTGGTTGCAGTCTTGGGAGTTAGGTGGCCAGATGTAAGGGGTGATGCTGTCGCAGAAATTGTCTGACAGCCATGACTGGGCTCTACTGCTTGTGTGGTATGGTGCAGTCTTGTTGTCAAACATAAGGTCTTCCAGCAGCCACCCAGGGTAGCACTACCTCCTCAATGCATTGTGTTGAGTCTGAAGACCTCACCAATAAATTTGGGAGTTATTTTCTTATCAAAATGATCAGTGTGTTTTTTCCAAGCTGCTATACCATCATAATCACCATTAAACTTGTCTAATTCTGTCTGAATACTCTGCACTGTCCTCAGATTGACACCCAAATACCCTGAAATGTTCATATTGGAGCTTCTGATGTGAATGTCATGCAGTACAGCATGCCGTTTCCAAATTTCTGGTGGAGTGAATTGTGTCATGGTGCCCAACTGGCCCTACTATACTGTGCAGTTGTCAAAATCAAAAACTAATAATGCATATGCATGAAATTATAAATATAAAATGACTGTAATTTACCCATATATATATATATATATATATATATATATATATATATATATATATATAGCCCTGCATTTTCTTTTTTTAAGTGTTGTTTCAATTTTTGATTGTGTGCATATGCATTTTGTTTTTTTATTTTCTTAAAGATTATCAAAGCAAAGTTGAATAAATGCAATTTTCATGTTCTATGAAATCAGCCATGATCCTGTACTACTAAAGTCACCTACAGCAGAAATTTTGGGGATTCAATCATATACAGTCCATTTTAGAATGGACTGTATATGAAAAAATTTCCTTCTGATGATCTAAATTTCAAAGTTGAAGCTAGTTATAATTGCAAGTTGTCACTTGGCAATGAAAATTGAGGGTAGACATAAAAGTTAATTCAGAAATGATAGCAAAGTTGGGGGAGAAGGGGTATCCCATATAACAGTCAAAAGATATCTGGATCAAATTGTCAAAGTGAATAAAATACAGAAGTAGATATAACATGATTTAACTAATAATTAACAGCTAGTATATTTTGATACCTGCTATAATCTATTCATTCATTTTTTTTTTTTTAAGTGAGACTTTTTTGTGCATTTATTGTTGATGAAAATTTGTTTCTTTAAGATAACCTGAAACAGGATTTTAGGCAAACAAATTTGCTCCCAGTTCAACCGCAAAACCAAATCTTACTCAAGAAGATCCTCATAACAATTCGATGTAATGGAGCCTGCTGAAACCAGGTCAAATCACCACAGCAAAGTTGACAAAAGTGAGTATTTTTATTCCAATGTGGGACAAATCTGCATAGCTTGAAATTATATATAAATTGCATAGGAAGACATCACAGATCAATAGATAAATCCCAAATTTTCAGGATTCAGTAATACTGCATAATCTGACAAGGCAGGAGCTGGTTAACAAAACTTAGCAAGGCATAAACATTTAACACTATGGAAATTCTACGGGTGTTGACAACTAAGATATCATCTTGCATCTATCATTTCTGCAATTACTGACAGAATAGAGTTATTATATGCATATTCAATATGCATTTATATATAAAATTAATAAAGAAACCACATAAAAATAACTTAATCTAGAAAGAAAGAATCAGTAATATGATTAAATTTATTCATGTATAAATAAATATAGATTTTAGTATAAATGCATTGCAGTGAATCTTTAAGGATGCCATTAGTTTATCCTAACTTTCATAATCTTTCATCTGTACTTTTCAGTTAGTCTGATTCCTATTGGCTATGGCTGAATACAGACTGCAAGAGGAACAAACTGACTTTTGAAAAAAATATTTGGTAAAAAAAAAAAAAACAAATTATTGCTATTTTGATTCTATAAAATTAACATCACAAGTAAATTAAGTATTTGTTGATAAAATAAAAATATAATAAAGTAGTAATAAATTTTAAACTTGAAAGCCATGGCAGTCTTGTTAAATTATAAACATTTCAAGAAAATTTAAATTTAGTTTTGTTGTCTTAAATGAGTTTAATACAAGTGACTAATTCAAATAATTACAAATATAAAACTGTTCATTTCGTCCAATATTCTAACAGTAGAAACATCATATACCTGCCTTATCTCTAGGCCAATGTTTGAATAATGGCAGGAATCATTTAATTTTATGGATTTGTTAGATTTAGCACGATAACTGATGAAAAAGCAACAAACAAAAAATGAGTTGAAAACTTTAATGGTTATACATAGAACCAAGCAGAAAGATAACATGCTTGCATATTTCTTCATGTAAATAATTGTTGTTATCATTATGATCATAAAATTCTCTTAATTACAATATTTTTATTGATGCTGACTGCTTGTTTTTAAGTTTGCTTAAGTTTAAAAACTATTTACATTTTCAATCTGTTAAAAGGCTGATAGCTGTAACTTAATAATTTGTTACAAATGTGTATATCACAATTCAATTGAAAGGTGCCTACGTTGAAAACAGAGTTATTTCCCTTGGTATATTGCCTTCAATAAAAACTAAGAACAGGAATATCCTTCAAAATTCTTCATAACATTTTTTCAAATATGCATTCACTGTTCAACTTCCTAACTCATCATTAATTTTACTGTTTCATATGATTTTTAACATATCTTTCCATCATATTTAATGATCATCTTGGAAAATTGCAATATCAGTACTTAAACATATTTCATTATTTATATCATTTTGTGAAATAGGATGCCTCATGAGATTTAGGAAGAATATCAAAGTTTAAATCTCATAAGCAAAGTGAAATTGATTAACACAGTCACATACAAACAGATTCTATACCAAGCTAATGTATTAATTTTCCTCAGGTCCACACTACTCCCTGGTTTATCTCTTGTTTCTTGTTTAGAATTGAGTTTCCAGTCCCTTTGAAAGTTTTTTTCATTTTCTTTCATCACAATAGCCCCTTTCATTGTAGTGTCACTATTGCCTTGACTGGGGTGAAATAATTAAAAAAAAATTATAATCATGGATCTGAAACAAATTTACATATCCATGAAGCATCTAAAATTATGATTTACATATCCATGAAGCATCTAAAATTATGATTGCCTAACACAGAGCAAACATGGTTGCTTTTGTTTTCTCTTAGTCTATTAACAAAAACCAAAGATATCTTCTTGATTAAAACCAGAAAATCATGATACAATATCCCACAAAGAATGATCATCAGGAGTCAATATGTATCTGACATGATATAAATCAAACTCAGGTACTGTCTGGGATAAGTTCTATAATTAAAAAAATAGTTGCATTGATTTCTTACTTTGTAATTACTATATTTATTGGTGTATAAGCCACAGTATTTACTAGGGCATTTGAAGGATAACTTACTTTAAATTATCCAAGCCCTCTAGCTGTCCATCTTGAACTTTGTTGTAAAACCAGCACATTGGAGGCAGGGTTAGATTTACACTCTATATTGTGCATATGACAACAACAAAAAAAAAAAAAAAAAAAATACAGTAATTGACCTCCTAATTTAGAATGGCACACCAGTGACATATAGAGAGCAATGAGAAAGAGTAAAATTCATTTTCTTGAAACTTGAAACAAGAAAACAATACATAAGACACCATTAATCAAATTCATAAGGTGCGATAAGCTTAATTATGGATTCACACTTGTACCAGTGGAGGTAGGTACCAATAAAAAGAGAAAAAAAAATTCACAATCAGCTGTGAAATGGAATTAGATAGTAATTAGTTTACAATTCTTTCATGTGGCATGCAACCAAATATGGAAGAAGTGTTGTGATAATTGATCAAAAAACAAAACTGACTCCACTTGAAAAATGATAATAGATCAGGAATATGAAAAAAAAGAAAAAAAAAAAGAAAAAATGAAGCGCTTGAGAAGGGTGATAAGAATAAATAAGTAAACACACCTGGTCATAAATATTACAAAACAAAAGCAAGAA